GATTGAACCCAGGGCCCTGCGCATGCTGAGCACACACTCTACCACTGGGCTATACCCGCCCTTCCTCCCATATTTTTAAATGAATGAAACAAGTTGCTTTAGAGCTGGAAGCTGGGGTCACACAGTTTGTTACAGAGCGGCCAGGAAGTGCATGCAATGTGAAGTTTGAAATTGGGGTAGATGCAAAAGTTCAGATTTAGGGCCTTCAAGGACTTTGAACCATGGGGCCACTTTAGAGCCCCCATCATGACCCTTGAAGATAATGAATTTCTGAATCTCATTCTCCTCTTTGTTAAATGGCAGGAATTACTCCTGAGTCCCTGGGAGTTGCAGGGGTCGCCTGTGCAGTGAAGTCCCGGGGTCCTGCCCCAGTGTGCTGAGGGCGAGAACACTCCACTTTAGACTCAGTTTTATTAGGTGTGTGGTCTTCACACTCCAAAACGTGGCCTCCTGCCTTTCTGGAGCAAGCTCAAACACTTGTTTCTAGGGGAAGAATCAATAGCATCCTCTCCCCACGCACTCCCAAGACCAAGGGGTTCTGGTGCAAGAAGAAATGCGTCAAAGCAGTGGAAACCCTTGCAAACTCAGAGCTGGCTGGGCCCACCAGTGCTTGGAATGAAGGGAGGGCTCGGGAAGGTGGGAGATGGTCCTCCTGGGAATGGGGTGTTGTGGGCGGGGCACTGTGTTTGTGGAACTGGGTAGCCACAAACCAGCCTTGTGGCCAACTCATGCTACATAAAGGAGTCTGAAAATTTCCAGGTATATAATTTGAAGGGGCCTCACTTTAGAGATGCATCCTAAAAGAGTAGTCCAAACAAAAAAAATTTATCAATTTATAAAAAGTTGAACTTATATACCTCCATGATGCTCAATGAAAAAGTAAATTAACCACAGATGATTCAAGGATTTAAACGTCGAGATAGAAACTCCAGCATTCTTAATGGAAAGGACAGTGAATGTCTTTAGACCGCAGGGCAGGGAAGATTTCTTAAGCAGAGCGAGGAATGCACTTACCGTAAAGACCTATGTAGCTGACTATATTACAATTAAGAATTTTATTTCTCAAAAGACACCTTAGGGGAGGGTATAGCTCAGTGGGAGAGTGCGTGCTCAGCATGTACAATGTCCAGGGTTCAGTCTCCAGTACCTCCATCAAAAGATAAATAAATATCCCACTTGTTGGCACGTGAAGCTCCCCAGCCCATAAAAGCAGGCAGCACCATGCCTGGTGGCCTCCTTCACTCCCTCGTATACCAAGATGGTAGGAATTCTGTCTATGGAGTGTGTACCTACATTTACTTTAACCTGAGCACCCAAACCCCACATTTCATGGCCTTTCTCTCTCATTCTGAAACAGCCTGCATGCTATGTAGTGTGTATCTCTCTAAATCTATCTTT